TGCTGCTGCTGCTGCTGCTGCGGCTCGCGGGGCTCGGGCTGCTGCAGGCTCAGCCGCCGACTCTTCTCGCAAACACGCAAATTAACGCCTTTTCTCCTTCTAATTTACTTTTCAAACTAAATCCAGCTTTATTTCCACTCTCGCGGCAACAAACCTGCATGCGCCCCCGGGAAAGCGCCCCGATCCTCTCACGGCTGCTGCTGCTGCGCTGGCTCATGCAGACAGACTGGCTCGGTCTTCAGGACTTGAGATTCTTAAGGAAAATCCCGCAAAACTTCTTTTAAATTTCGCAAAAAATGAAAAATGCAGTTTTGTCCTCCTTATCCCAAAAAGAACTAAAGAACAAACCCGTGTCGGTCCGGCTAGACTTCAGCTTCCCTAGTTCAGAATCTGCACAGCAGCAGGACGGGCAGCAGCAGAATAGATTCGATCCGTAGAAAACCTCCACAATCGGCACACAGCCACACTCCGCAAGTGGTATTTGCTAAATAGAGAAGCTTCGAGGAAATAAACTGCAAAAGAATTAAATGACGCTCACTTTCCACCTCAGCAGCAGCTGCCTCTCTCCACACGAACGGCCAGAGGCATCGGCAGAGGTCCCTGTACACCTGAAACGGCGGCAGCTGGTGCGCTCGCGATCTCACTTGTAACGATTTAATTATTTCTTGCATGACTTTGATTAACTGGAAATGAAGTTGATTTGTGTTTTTCTTTCCTTCGGCGCTTTGCTCGCCAGCAAAGCCCGCGGGGCCCCCGCGGATCAGCCCCCCCTCCTCCGATTTGCACAGGTAGGCGCGCACTCGGCAGCAGCAAAGCCCACTGACACCGCAACTCCCGCCGCTCCAGCTTCCTGGATTCTCCGAAAGCAATCCTCCGCCTTACACAGTTATCAACGTGGCTGCAGAGGCCCGGCTAGTGACGGTTAGTCTCGAGTTCAACTTCAGGCCACTTGCCCCTGATCACATCCCCAAGGGCGCCTTGCTGCTGCTGCTGCTGCTGCTGCTGCTGCTCTTAGGATCCTCTGGAAGGTACGGGGCTTAGCAGCGGCTCAGCAGCAGCTTGAATCTCTTTGCAACTTTTCAAATTCAACTCAGAGCTGAAAAGGAAAGCTGAGGTAAAGGCCCCACTCGCTGCTGGCTGCTGCTGCTTCTAAAGAGGCCTCTGCAGCGAAGGGCCCAAATACGCGTCACCCACGACATCAACCAGTGCGCTAAACCCTAAACCCTAAACCCTAAACCCTAAACCCTAAACCTGCTGCGCAGACAAGCCAATGAAAACAGCGAAGGCTTCAAAACCCTAGAAGCTGCTCGCCGGAAGCTCGCCAGTGAGGGTTTTCTGTTTGGGCCAAAAGGACTTAGCCATATTTTCCCTTTTGCAGAGCGCATTCATTTGCTTAGAAACTAAACTCACTTAAGCAGCAGCAGCAGCAGCAGCAGCAACTGCTGCTGCCGCTGCTGTTGCGCCTTCTGTTAGCCCGTGCCTCTCAGAGGCACTGCGGCGCACTGCAGTCTTGCTGCAGCAGCAGCAGCAGGAGCAGCAGCAGCAGCCGCTGCTGCTGCTCCCCCCGCAACAGCAAATCCCGTGGCTGCCGGGGCAGACACCCCACAGTAAACACGACAGAGTCTTGCTAACGACGTTGCCACTGTTTGCTTTCACTGTTGCTGCTGCAACAAGCTGCTGCTGCTGCTGCTGCCTTCGTGGGCGCTGCTGCAGTGCAGCAGCAAAGCCTGCTGCTGCTGCAGCGGCGGCTGCAGCGTCCTTCCTCGCCCCGCCATTCGCGCTGCGTACCTAGCTCGGCTGCTGCAGATTATTTCTTGAAACTGCTGCTTTAAAGACTTCTGGGGGGCCCCCTCGGGCGGCGCTGCTGCTGCAGCAGCAGCAGCAGCAGCAGCACTGCTGCTGCCCCCGTCCACGGCCATGTCTGCTTGCGGGGGCCCCGGGGGGCCCCCAGTGGGCCCTGGCAGCCACTCGCTGCGGGCTGAAAATGCACTTGTTCGCGGCAGCTGCTGCTGCAGCCGCTCTGCTGCTGCTGCTGCTGCTGCTGCTGCTGCGGGGTCTGCGCACAGTTCGTGCAGCCGCATTAGGTCCCCCCAAATCGGGTGCTGCACCCAGAACGAAACAGAAGGGTAGAAAGAAGCCTGCGCAGCCTTCGCTGCTGCCATTGCTGCTGCTGCTGCTGCTGCTGTTGCTGCTGTTGCTGCTGTCCCCTCCAGCGTTCGGGCAAATGCAGCCGCAAGGTCCTGCAGCTGCGTCTCTCCGTCTTCGTCTGTGAGTGTTGCTGCTGCAGCGTAAGCAGCAGCAACAGCAGACAGCGGCTCGAAGCAGCTCCACAGCAGCGGCCCTGCTGCTGCTGCTGCTGCCTGCGGGGGCCCCTGCACAGGCGGCAGCAAAAAGGCCGGGCTGCAGCAGGGAAGCCCGCTGATGGGGTCACTGCTGGCGATGAAGCGCCGCAGGGCCTGCACATTCGCAGAAGCAGCAGCAGCACGCACATGCAGCAGCAGCAGCAGCAGCAGAGGACGCAGCAGCAGGAGCAGACGAAGCAGCAGCAGCAACAAAAACGCACAGCAGCCGCAGGCGCATCGCACGCGCCGGAGCAGCCGCCCCAAGACCAGCAGCAGAAGCCACAGCAGCAGCAGCCGTAGGAGCAGCAGCAGCAGCACTGACTGCGTAGAGGGGCGTGTGCTGCTGCTGCTGCGGTGTCTGTACAGCGTCGAACTCCGTGGGGCCTTCCACGACTTCGACATTTTTTTCAATTCTTTCGAAGTCCGGGTGCAGCAAATTCCAAATGCTGCGGCGTTTGGGCTGCAGCAGCAGCAGCAGCCCCTGGCGCCTCTCGAGGGCGACGAGGGTGCTGCTGCTGGTGCTGCTGCTGCTGACGTCGCCGCTGCAGCAGGCAGCAGCAGCAGCAGCAGCGGCGCTCACGCCCCCAGGCAGCCCGCAGCAGCTCCGCGGCGCCCACTGCAGCTGCAGCAGCCGCTGCAGCTTGCTGGTCTCCAGGGCCAACACAACAGCTTCTATTGCATGCGCAGCAGCAACATCCACCATGTAGAGTCCAGTGGTGCTGCCGCGGTCAGCAGCAACAGCAGCAATGGACGGCTGCTCCGTGCTGCTGTTGCTGCTGAAGCAGCAGCACGTGTACTTCTCCCGCTGCACGCGGTCCTGCTGCACAAACTGCAGCAGCAGCTGCAGCGGCAGCCAGCAGCTCTCCCTGCCCTCACCGACACCTTCCTCCTCTCCCGACTCTCCTGCTGCTGCTGCTGCTGCTCCTGCTGCTGCAGCTGCTGCTGCTTCAACTGCGGCTTCTGCGAGTTCGGCGCCGTCCGCTGATCCTCCTTGTGCGCCGGCTGCGCCCAAGGCGGCTTGTCCTGCTGCTGCTGCCGCTGCTGCTGCTGCTGCTGCTGCTGCTGCT